CCCTCCGTCAGGTGGTCTTGGCAGGGAAAGCCCAATCTTATCCAGGTAAACTGAGGCCCAGAAAGCCAAGGGCAGAGCACAGACTCAGCCTGGACTCCACACCCTGCACCCATCCCTGCAGTCCCTGCTCCCCCAGGACCCAGTTCCCGGCGCACTGCCGAAAGGCCCGAGGGAGACCTCCTTCCGGGAGGACGGTCCGCACCTGCACGGGTGGGCGCGGTGCAGACCCCGGAAACCAGCAGCGGCTGCAGAGAGGCTCGTCGCTGGAGGCCACTTCGGCCTGCTCAGCACAGGGCCAAGTGCCATCAGCAGAGCTGCTTGTGCCCCCAGCGACGCCCTCAGGAATCACCCCTTTTGGATGGGGAAGTGAGGTCTCCAGGGAGGGTGCCCAGCCTAGAGAACTCGGACCTTGGGGAGCCTCTGCAAGACAGCAGCTGGGAGTCTGACCCCAGGGCCGGACCTGGGCGGGGGGATCTGGGCCTCAGGGCACAGGAGGAGAAACAGAGGCAGGGGCTCATGGGTAGGTGGAAAGGAGGTGAGCGCAGAAGACAAGGCTGCCCACCCCCCGCCCTGTCCCTCCAGCCTGCACCTCCTCTGCCCTGTGGGCAGGAGGAGCTGCAGGCCCCTGCCTGCTGGCTCACTGTGCAGCCTCGGGCCCAGTCCCTTCCCCTTTGGAAGCTTCAGTTTCCATGTTTGTGCGATGGACCTGGTAACAATTGCCCTTAAGCCCCAGGGTGCCGAGGCCCCTCCTTTGGGGCTCGGTGGCGCTAGGTGCTCGCGGAAGGCCAGCTTTCCTCTAGGCAGTGTGCGCGACGGGCAGCCTGGCCTCTGGGGTTGACTGGCATCTGCCTGGGGTGACAAGATGCCCAGCCCCCAACAGAGGCGATCACTCAGTGTCGGGGGTGTGGAGACAGGAGCGCAGGCTTCCTCCCCAAGTCACCTGCTGCAGCCAGCGTTCTGTCCTGGGGCGAAAGGGAGTCTGCGCCCAGGAACCCCCGCCAGCAGCACCCAGACTCAGCTGAGGAGCCCAACTGTGGAACCCCAGCTGCCCTGGGCAGAGGCGGCCCCGTTATGGGGGCCCCAGGCTGAGGGGGCAGGAGAAGTCATCCGACCCCACTATTGCCACCAGCCCCTGCCCGCCTTTCCTCAGGGCCCTGGGCTCCCTGCTCTGTGTAACCCCCCCCTCAGTCACCAGATTCCAGGCACCCCAAGTCCGTCTCCTGGGTCTAGCATGACCCTGGGGAGGAGGGACTGGGGCTGAGCACTGAGGGCCATGCTGGGGGAAAGGCCCCTCCCCAGCCATCCTGAGCCCCCAATCCCCTTCTTGGCTCTGCTGTTGACTGACCAGCCAGGTGGCCCCAGGCCAAGGCCCCCTCCCAGGGAGGGAGGTGGCCGGCAGTGGCACCGTCCCATTAGCAAGTTGCTGCACTCTTGTCACCTCAGCTTTCTTGGGTTTTCCCTGTGAAATGGGGATAATCTCTCCTGCCTCTGAACATGGCTGGAGGCCCAGAAGAGCCATGGTGTTGCACTGGGCAGGGCACTGACCCCAGATGGTGCAGGAGGTCAGCAGAGGGAGTCCCCACACTCTCCCTGGGGCCTGGGGCCCACTTGTTCCAGGAGGGGTGGCATGGCCCCAGCTCAGGGGCTCCTCCAGTCGGGATCACTAATGGCCGGGCAGCAGGGCAGGGCAGTGGGGCAGGGCTGGAAAGGGTGCCTAAGATGTGTCCACACACTGACCCGCCAAGAAAAGAGGGCCAGGCTGAGGGTCTGGGGCACAATGCCAGGCCCTTCATCTCCAGAGCCCAGATCTCACACCTGGGCACACATACTGGCACATACGCAGGGGAGCCTCTTCCAACCAGACTTGGAGACTTCCGGTTCCTGCTTCAGCTCACCCCCAAGTCCATATGCCACCATTCTCTTTGCCTGGATAAAGCTTCCCAGAATTCCTCACCTGAGACACCCCCAGTCTCCCTTCAAGGGCCTCCTCAAGCATCACCTTCTCCAAGAAGCCCTCCCTTGGCACCCCTGCCTTTGCCTTCATCCCCCTAAGTCCAGTTCTTCTGAGAAGCAGCAGTGTCTCAGCCTTCCCCAAAATGCCCACGTGCTCCCCAGGGCCCCTGCAGGAGCCGAAACGTATAGATTCCCTCTTAGAAATTATACAAGTAGGAGGTGCTCCTTCAAGAAAATCTGGAGAATACAGACACAAGAAAAATGAATCGACTTTTTGCCCCAAAACTGTTGGCAATGGGGAGATGTCCCTCCACCTCCCTGCCATGTCAGGTGGGCGTTCTGGCCATGAGTTGGCCTGTTCTCAGTGTACCTCCACTGTGGACCAAACTGTATCCCCAAAGTTACCTCCTCCGTGTAAGGGTCTCCCCAGCCCCAATTTCAGCCCTCCTCCGGTCGCCTCAGCCCCCCAGGGCAGGGGCCAGACTTCAGTCCCCTCTCAGCCCAGATGTCCCCAGGCGTCTGCTGCCCCAGGGAAGGGAAGTGTCCTACAGTGGGGGGTGGGGGAGGAAAGAACCCCTCTGCATCCCGTTCTTTGGTCTGGGTTCGGGAGCTAAGGTGGAGGGGCCTGGGAGCGGAGGGCGAGGGCCGGGGTTTCCTCCCCGCTGCCCCCTAGAGCACCCTTCCTCCAGGGCCCCCACCACGGTGCTCCCCTCTTCCTCCGGGGGCGGAGGTTCCCACACCCTGGGCTCTCTGCCTTCGCAGGGACAAAGGCAGCCCGCATGCCTCGCAGGCTGCCTGAGAGCTGCGGCCGCCCTTTGTCCACTGTCCTGGCCACCCGCCATCTGGAGCTTGGCTCCGGCCAGGGGATCGATGCGGCCGGCCCCCAACACCGGAGTTCGCATCACCCCTCCTGGGTCCAGTCTCCGGGCAGGCTCCACTCCGCT